AAATAAAACATGGTATAATACTGAAAATATGATTTGTACTCAAGTAGTGACATACATTAAAAAAGACCCAAAATTTTGAATAAGAACATCACTCTGATTGCAAGATAGATCATTACAAACAGGGAAAATCCCTAACTACTCTTTCTTGCTTACAAATGACAGTATTACCATAAAAGCCAACCATTTCCCACCACTGATGAAGTCTCATATCAAGACTAATTTTATATATTAAAGTTTTGAAACAAATTAGCAGAGTCTCAGATCCTTGAAATTGTATATATTATTTAATATATAAAATTGACTTGACTCTACTCAAGTTAATTTTGGTAGTCTCATAAAGTGATATCCGTTCATATATTCTCAACACATACAGAAGGTTTAATTCAAAGCCATCTGGAAGTGATCCCTAGTTTGTAGTATGGACTCATAATGAAACATTGCCCCGCATTTGTTCCATCAAAACTAGAGAAAATCATTCAGAGTACATGACAGATATAACCATTTCACTTGTTGCACCAAATTAAGTCTACTTTTGCCCAAAGAAGGATCTGTAAAATGTCTCTGTGATTTTATCAGTACCCCACAAGATATGCAAGAGGTTTTAGGATTAATAGGCTATCACATTAACATTTAATTTGTTTGACCACTGCACTGGATAACAATGTAAGCTTGAAATGTGTGTCATACACCTACATGGTCTTATTCCCTTTATAATCTCTAAAATACATCAATAACAATGGTAAGAAATCCTACATCTTCTCTTTGAAGCTTTCCTCTCCTTATTTGGACAGTTCTCTTCTCTTCTAATCTCCAAGAAGGTAAAACTAAGAAATTACTTTGCACTGTGTTTTACTTTTCTTACGAGTCTCCCTCAGCTCTTAAACACAGCTGCGGGGAAAAAGAGTTTCTTTAAAAAAAATACCTTTCTATATACAGGTTCCAGTAAATGTAATTTGAAAGGACATGAAAGAAATCAATTTGGTTTCAAGTGTTTTTCTGTGTACAAATGCTGTTTCTGTTTCAAACTCTATAAAACTTTTCTTATACCCGTCAGATCAAACTGTATGTTTTATGTGCCTAGCAAGTGATTTGTTAAAATTAAATCAATTTGCAAAGCAACAAGCATATATAATCAAATCCTATGCTGTCAGGATTGATCAGATTGCTCACTTACACCTGGTCATTTGTCGTCAAACACATTCTCTACTTCACATTTAATTTTTACCATAACAGTTTCTTAGTAAGCTAATGTATATTTTTCACTCACCCTCCAAAATTTTTTACATCTCTTCACTCTGGATAGTTTTGATTTGTTCATCCCTGATGTCTGCAGGTCAGATATGTATCCTGGGTGGTTGCAACTGTGTTCTACAATCAGACTGGTGCCTAAAACAGTAGAGCACTAGGTATTCTTGAAATCAGAGGCACTCCTTAGCTTTTAATGCTGCTTCCAATAACCACACAGTCCACAGCTCAGCATAAAGTAACCAATAGCTGAACGTGACATTGAAAAAAAAAAGCAAAAAAACCTTTCCATCAAGATCATAGACAGAGCAGACTTGATCCATCCAAAGCTTGATTTAGGGCAGGGGGAAAAAAATATTGTCAGACATCCAACCTTAAGAAGACACGGGAGCTTGAAAATGGTGGCACTTTAAGACACTGTCATGCTTAGTTTTAACACAGGGATTGTTTTAATCCTGTATTTAAAACAAAATCAAAGCTGCTTTAAAATATATGGAAATGAAGAGATATTACAAAAACATCTCCAATAATCTGCCATGGAAGGATGCTGAGAATTTCTCATGCAGTTGCTTCTGTTTTGTTTTCTGATGCTCCTTGGCATAAATTCAGCAAACGGAAAATGAAGTGGTAAGTGCCTTAGAAATTCAGCTTTGGGAAAAATGAAACTACCATTAGTTCACCATCCAGTTCTGGCATGAGAAAATAACTTTGTTTATAGAGAGTTCAGAGTTTTTAGGTGCACGTAGCGACTGTGAGACAGATCTTCTTATCAGCTCATTTTTTTTGTATTACCAAAAAAAACAACCCCTGCCTTATGATCACTTCAGCGTATGATCCACTAACATCACACAAGATAAATAATGCCAAGCTGAAAAGTCACTGAATGCTTCCCGAAGTGCCTTGATGATTAAGTATGTGACACAATTTTTTCCTGTGTCAACATTAATCCAAAGCACCGTATTATGGAACAGTGCCTTTCTAGAAGTCGCCCATGCAGGATGAGATACGAAAAGAGGTCTTTGCTTGTAATGCCCAGTAACTTTTTGCATGACTCATTTCTTAAGAACACAGAGGCTATTCCCCTTGTCATATGTGAATTCTACTTTATTCCTTGTTTAGTATATTTTACCAGCTTCAACTTTCCTTCTAGTCTTAACCGGCCACAGAAAACTTAACTTCCTACCTGAAAAAGGTTATATCATTGCTTTGTGATGCAATGTTAGTACGTATAGGGCCAAAACTTGACAATCTAGTTTAATTCTCATCTAGTTTATAAAGCATACTATCAAAGAAAATCACATCCCTCCCTAGTGGGTTATTTGCTTTATAGTGCTACTCACTACTGTTTGCTGCTTGAGTGGCCAAGATCTATAGATCTGTCATAAGATCCAAAGTTGCAGAGTTCAAATTCTGCTATCATCAGTGAATCCATAGTAAATACACAAAGAGCCCACTGAAGAATAAATTCAGGAGAGAGAAAAAAATGTTACATCTAAAACAATTACTAACTTTGGTCCTCCTAAAGAGCAATTTTTATTAGCTTTGGAAGTGACAGACTGTTTTTGAGTAGTTGCTTCACCCTGTTTAATTTTGTTCTAAGGCCTGATTCTACTTTCTGTGCAAGTCCAACAAAGTTTTGTCATTAACTTTAGTGGGAGCAGATCCTTGCTTCATAATAAACCTTTCATGTCTGGTTAGAAACCTCCCCCCAGCTTTTTCCAAAAAAACTTACTGCATCTCATTAGAGGCTTTATAAGTACTTCAGCTTTCTTTAATAACGAGTTTCAGGAATTCTCTAATAACACTCAGTCAAGATAGTATCCACACTTGAATATTCAAACTTAAATTTTCAGTCAGGTTGACAATGTTCTGTGCTATTAATCTGCTTATTACAGGAAGGACAGATAAAACAGTTTTATATTCCAGTGTGTCTAGGGATTTAGAAAATACAAGAATCTAGAAGTGATGACATGGAAACACATATTTTAATACTGGCAAGAGGAGCAGTTGTATAACTCCCCAAAGGAGTAGCAATTTTAGAGAGTGTATCATAATTTTTTAAATTTAAGATGGCCCAAAATTTAAGACAACCCCCCCCAATAATTAGATTCTATATATGGACAATGTATAAACTTGTTTTAATTTTCCAGGTATAGAATCTAAGGGCACTTTTACATGTGCTCTAGGGGTGGTGGTGCGGGGGGAAGGCGTTCTTTTTTGAATAAAATTAAATTAAAATAAAAGCACCACCACCTCTCATGTATCAGTGTCCCTGGGCTTAAAAATGGCGGTTCGGGCCACTCGATGAGCTTTAGTTCAATCATTCCTACTGCCATTTTTAACCCCGGGGACACTGATACAAGAGGTGCAGGAGGCTGCTCCAGCTGACTCAGGTTATCGAGTCTGCTCTGATGTGCTGGAATTCCAGCGTGTCGAAGCAGCTTCCACACTTGTGTACAGGCACCCTAAGTATCAGAGGGTTGTCTTGAATTCACCTCCCACCCCACTGCTACGGCAGGGAAAGCAATGGCTGGGGAGGGTCAGGTGCTGAGGACATCAAGCAGTCCCCTAGCCCTGTGCCCCCCCACACACACACACTTCTTCCCCCTGAAGCCTTCCTGCCCTTCTGCTACTTGCACTCCACACCCCCAGCTCCTCACAGCCTCTGTCCCTCCCCCTTACTCCTCCAAGTCTTCACCTCTTTCCCCACATCTCCCCAGGCTCTACCTCTCCTCCCACAACTTCCCCCCAGTCTCTGCCTCTTCCCACCCCCTCTTACTGATAAAGGCTGCTCAGGCTCTGTTTCCTCCCAGCACACAGCATGTGGAAGGGCAGCCTATGCCAGGCCATGCAGAATCATCTTAGATGCAAGTAAATATGGTAACTGCAACATCACTGCCTCCAATACAGCCCACAGAATTGAATGGAAACCAGCTCTATGCCATTAAAAAGCATGTCTGCTGAGTAAGAGTTGCATCAAAATGAATAGATTAGACCTTTGTTCTTCAAATCTTAAACAATGCACCTTGTTTCTGATGTTAGAAGAAGTCAAAATCTGGCCCATTCTGTTTTAATCTTAGTCCTGTGTTCCCCCTGCTCTCTATATTACTGGCTGTAGCCAGGGGGGTGCTATATGCAATTCATTTTGATTCCGGTTAGTATCAAAAACGAAATCCATTTATCACGTATAGGACCATCCCTTTAAACAGAAAAAAAAAATTGCCTTGTATTTCTTTGTCTTCAGAAGAATGATCTGAACTCTGACCTTGCTTACTATAATGAGTAAACAGCCTGAAAGGCGCTCTGTACGTTTCTTTCATTTGCACTGATCAATGCTTATAAATAGCATTGCGTGGCTGGACGAAGGTCAAGGTAAATGCTATTCTGTTGTGGCCGCCTTCTTTGTGGTATGAGCATTATGTTACAGCCAAGAAAAATGATGGTTACGTCTGAATTATATGCAGTTTGGAATCACAAAAAATGCTTTCAGAGCGTTGTGTGCTTTTGGTACTTTAATTTTCTGAAAAGCGATTTCCTCACCCTTTGGCTGATAAATAAATTAGAGAACAAAGACCCATGGTAAATAAAATAGAAATCTTTTTTCTCTGTGTGTTTCACTGGACCCAAATGTATGAAACCCACAAATATCAGAATACTGGTATCCATTAGTTGCCTTGATTAAGATGAGGTACCTGGAAGAGGTAGGAACAGATCCCAACTGGTAATTACTGCCTATGATCAATATTTAAACTAAACCCTTCTTTTTCATTCACTCTTGCCTCAAACTCAGGGTCTATACAGTCAATATTAGATGTCAACACTATAGAGGTGTTTGTCTTCAATCCAACAACCTGAACAGCAAGCTGAAGAAAAGAGATGGTCAATAAGGAAAAACCCAAACCTGGGGGTCTACAAAGACAGATTGATATTTTCTACTAAAGTTACCATGAAATAAATGCCACTCTGCAAAACTACTTTCCCATATCCTTCTCCTATCCACCCTTCAGCCTTACCTATACTTACGTGGCTCCCTACTCCAGTGGTTCTAACTTTTTTACACTCAAGGCACCCCTTCTTAGACTCACGACACCTCTTGGAAAATGCCAGTTTTTAGCTTTCACTTGTATCCTGACTACACAAAAATACTACAGCAATTCTTCTGTTGCAGAGAATACCGAAAGGCCACAACAGGACAGAATATGTTTGACACTGTAGATTCCTATTTGAAATCTCTGGGTTTATCTTGTGAATCGCGTGTAGGTGTTTGCACATCTAGCCGTGCTAACATTGCAACTTATTCCAAAACAGTCACTCTCCACGCTGAACAAATGCTTCTCACTACCCACTTCTCTTCTCTCTTCATCTGCCTACCCACTAATTCCCCTGGCTACTCCCAATCCTTTGCTTTTATTACATCCTGATACTTTCTCCATTCCTCCATATCCATTTTGCCTCATGCATCAATCACTTGGTAGTACCACCTTTAAATCATATCTTAAAACCCACTTCTTTACTCAGTAATCTGTCCTAGAATCACTAAAGCTTTCAGCCTACAACCAGGTATATATTAAACCTGCTGAACTGACTAGAATGCAAGCTCCTTGGGCCAGGTGCTGAGTCTCATAAGTAAATTTTGGGCAACACAGAACACATTGCCCATTCTCAGTAATCATTGCCCTTGTACCTCTCATCAGCTTTGAAGATCTGGGTTTAATTGTTTATAGAAAAGTATTATTTTTCAAGCATTAAAAAAAAGTATTTCTCATCGTATATTGAAAGGTCAGGTTGTTAACAGACTCTTTGCCTTTCCCTACTGGCATCTACTATCAAATGCCAGTGTCCTCACCAATGCTAACACTGTTGATTATTCAACATCAGCTGCAGTGGGCATGGCATTGTGTGCAAATGCCTGATGTACATTTACCAAAACAACTGCTGTACTCCCAACTCAGCCAAGGACAAAGGACATGTGGGGGCCAGAGAAAATGCTTCAAGGATGCCTGCAAGGAAAACATTACGTGAGGCACTGACATCACAAATTGTGAAAAACTAGCCAGGCACAGGGCTACATGGCGACAGCTTGTGAGAGAAGGTACACCTTACTTTGAGGAAAACGATCTCGCCTTGGAGGCAGAAAAATGACACAGACAGACAGAAAGGAAACAAGACCGAGAAATCTGAAGTTTGACCCTCCCTTTAACCACCACCTGTGGTGTCAGCAAGAGTCTGTGGCTCTAGGATCAGCCTTCTTAGCTGTCAATGGAGTCATCTACAACCCAAATTCGCATCTTTTGTTTTGCTTAATTTGGTCTTTCATTTTCTCTTTCTCTAGGGTTCCCAAAATTGTTAGTTTGGGTAGAGTCCCAGACTCGAGGTCTGCTGTTTGATTGGTGGAGCTCATCCACCAATCTGGAGACAGCAAAAGGAAGCAATATCAAGCCCTTTTCTGAAGGGAGGGGGCAAGAAGCAGCTGGACCTGAATCAGAACTGCACCAGCCAGGTCTGGAGAACTTTGGGGGTGGAGCCCCTGAAGAGTATAAAAAGACAGCGTGCTCAGCAGGTTCAAGAGAGACGATGAGGGACAGCGAGGAGAGAGGAGCTCCAGAGATGGCCATCCTTGGGACCCCGCCTGAGCTTCAGCGGTGTGCGGATCGCTGCATGGAGAGCTGGCCCTGGGAGCAGCTTGAGGCTGCTTCAGCTCCACATGGTACGTGGGTCGGTGCACAGAGAAACCGCCTTGGAAGCAGCTCACAGCTGCTCCAGTTAGCCCCGGCCCTAGGCTGAGTGACCGGAGCCCTGCAGTGAGACTCCGCCTTTAAGTAAAAGAGCCCTGGTGCCCAGAGCAGGGCCTGGGAAAGGGAAGAACCCCAGTGTGAGACTGGGGAGTTGGAGCCTATAAGGGCTTGGCTCCCATGAGAGAAAGAGAGCCCTGGGTGCCCAGTGCGGGGTGCTGGGCCATCGAGGAGACCTGAAGGCACTGCTGGGGAGAGGCCACCAAGGGACGAGCCTTGACTTCTCCAGAGAGGAAGCGTGACTTGCTGAGGAAACGGGCCCCGCAAGCGAGGCTGACATGGGTGAGGAGTGTCTGCCGTCTCCACCCTCCATTGCGGGAGGGGCGTGTCCACGTCCCAGGGCCCTAAAGGGGAGGGGCTTCAGGGAAACCCCTCGGGGAGGTGCTGGGTGCACTCCCTATTTTGAGGTTGTCGTTATGTTAAGGGCTATATAGCTAGGGGTATTCTTTAAGGGGGTTCATATGGTTTATGTGTTTTAATGCCTCAGTGTGTATATTGGTATTGTTATTTGTGAAGGTTTAAAGAAATATTATTGTTAATTTATTTGAGTTATATAGGTTAATATCCCTATGTGTTAATTGTGTTGTATAGGTTGTAAGTTATCTGGTTCATACGTGCTATTATATGTGAATGTGGAATTTTATATATAGTAGTATATGTTAAGCCTTGTAAATATTCCATGTTTTATATTAAGTGTATGTATTTATTCTTGTAATAAATTGTACATAGTTAAGTACTTAGTTTCCACCTAGCTCTATAGACAGGGGAGGAAGCAGCTCTAGTAGCTGACCCCTTCCTCAGCACCCTGCCTGACCACTGCCCCTGTCATCAGAGCACAGGGCACACCCTCCGGGTGTCCCCAGGCTACATAATATATGTAGACTTCTTTTTATTTACCTTGGGTTTTGTGCCTTTTGTGCCTAGATCAATCTTTCATCAAGAACTTTCTTTAGGAACCAGAGTTACAAATCTGCTTAAAAAAAAAAAGATGAAGAATGAGGTTTTCACAAAGTTGTCTCATTCCAGAAGCTGGGGTCTTAAGAAATACACCAAAAATGAAAGAATAAAAATCTAAGAATAAGCAATACTGACATTTTATCATTGAAGTGAAGGCATCAATGTGAAAACAATCTACAAGTGGAAAAATGGAACTAGAAATAAATATGAATGACAGTTTGTGAAGTATATACAATTGATAAGAAAAGGAAAAGACAAGTGAGAAAAATCCATGGAAGTCATTTTGTAAGTATATATATATTAGGAACAACAGACAAACAGCAACAAAACTCTAGGAATGTTAAGGCCCATTTTTAAAAGGAGTTGGTGCATTTATTAATAAAAATACAGAATAAAATTAAAAAATGTTGAATAAAATTTTTGGTCCTGTATGCCAAATGACATAATTCTACTGGATGAGAATTATGAAGTACTTCCCAGTCCATTAGTAACAAAGGAGGATGTTAAATATCATTCATTACAGATGAACAGCAAGACCATAAACTTGTACCCAAGATTCTTAAAACAGCTGGCTGAGCTCTCTGGCCTTCCAATATTAATTTTTAATAAATATTGGAATGCAAGAGAAATTATGGAAGCCAGAAAGAGTGCTAGTGTTGTGTCAATATTCAAAAAGCATTAAAAAATTCAAACAGTATCCATCCTGGACAAAATAATGGAAACAGCTGATGTAGGGTTCAATTAAATGGCATTAAATGATAAGGATATGACAACTGAAACATAAATAATACATACACTAAATATATATTGTGCCCACATGTATCCTAGTTCATGTGGGCACAAATGATGCGGCCAGGAGGAG